TAAAGCCCTGTTGACAGCGTCGAAGACCTTATAACACGCGTATTTGAAACTGCTTCTTATGCAGGGGTAATCAATTCGAACACCTCCTTAGATAAGAGTTGTACTTCTTTTTGTTACTTCTGTTTTTATGTTTATGAACATAAATAATGGTAATATAAATACTTTTTATCCTATTTTGTGTCCTTTTTACTTGAGTTTTGTCTAAAAATACAAGATGAAGATTCAAAAACAAAAACATCTTAGCACATATTCTATATATAGCACACATCTTAGCACATATACCCTCAACTGCGTGAGGAAGGCGTTTCAGATTCGACATTCCTGGGGGATTCTGAGTGGTCTAGATGTACTCTTCTTCCCTTCAAAATTTGTAATATCTTAAATGAGACACACTATATGCATTTTTAGCCTAAGTGTATTTTCACTTCGTCAAAAATGTTTTCAAGAGAAGTAAAAAGTTTTCATCATTTGATTATAAAGAAAACGACAGATATCAAATACATTCTGAATGAAAAAAGAAAAATAATTAATTACAGGATAAGTATGGAATTAGTCTTTATTTTAAGTTTGTAAAACAGATCAATGTTTAATATAGCATGAGTTTATATCGTTACTTTACTTAATGTTTTAACTATAAGAAGCAAAAGAGAAATAAAAGACTAGAGAACAAAATTACAGAAGTTTATAACTGTGTAAATGAACTATATTATAGGTGCAAAAATTTTTAAAAAAACACGCAACAAAAGTGTTAAATAAAATCCTTATTGCATTTTTATCTTATTGATTACAATAAATAAGGACAATAGATAGTTTGAGATGTTTTTGAAATACACATACTATATCTTTTAATTGTGAAAGCAACAAAATGCGCAATTTTTTCCAAGGAATGTAAGAAGAATGCGTGTCTTTCTTCGCTCAGATTGAAGAATATAATATGCTTGAAACTTTAATAAAAATTAACAAAAAGTTGTTAAATAGCTATCTTTTCAAGATGATTTTATGTAAAATGTAGTTATCTCTACACAAAAGATAACTCTGATAAATCTTTTTCAATGTTGCTAAGGCTAAAATGTATATAATTTTTGGGAATAATTAAAATGGCTTGTATTCTATTGGGAAACCATTATAAAACTTTTTATTATAAAAATCAGCAACAAATAAGTGATTTAACTGAGGAGATTAAAATATTAAAAGTGGTATGTACTTTGTTATAATCTAATATGAGATGATTTAGTGACTATTTGTTCACGTGGACAAAAATTATCCAGAATAATACATAATTTTGAAGAGAATTTATTTAAAATAATTGTGATTACGAACTCATATTAATTGGTTATTTAATTTAGGTGCTGTAAGTATAGAATATACAAATAAATAGAATATGACAATAACGGCAACTTATATAGGTAAATAATCATTCATTATTTGCGCTTTAAACCACACAAGCATGTTCATGATATATAGAGTGTTGCAGAATTCGACCAAAAATTTCAGAGTAGTGATAGTATGCAGAATGGAGACTACAACTCACCATAGAACATGGTATCGCAAACCATGTTTAGTTATGGTAATTCGCAAACTCTGTCATGAAGGGTGTGATGTCTAGTGGAATGAAAATGTGCAATAAGAGGTAAGAAATACATTTGTTAAACTTAAAACCATTGTTACAATACGAACAATACATCACTCCTCGATTTCAGAAATGCAACGAAAAGGGATTATCACAAAAATTGTTTCAAGTCATGGCCGCAGAGGTCATAGCACAGTCGACACCGATGGACGAAGGATTGTCAGGTGCGTTCAGAAAAATACAGAGTGCTAGCGATGTCAGCGATCCGTGCTTTGCGATCCTCCACTGTCGCCACAAGTGTCTCATAAACAAGCTATTTTAGGTTTTCCCGAAGAAGAAATTCGAAGGATTGAGGTCAGGAGAACGAGGAGGCCAAACAACAGATCCACCACGTTTAATCCATCTCTCAGAATATGCATCATAAAAGTAATTACGCACCGCAATCGAAAAATGGACTGGTGCCCCATCGTGCATAAACCACACAATTTGGTGAGCACTGGCCTATACTCTTTGCAGCAACTCCGAAGGACGTGCTGTAGAAAAACGAGGTATTTTGCGTCATTGAGGCTTTCGGGCAGTATATGTATATCCCCACATTTGTTTGGCCACCCCTCCTCTGGCACATCGTCCTCCGGACGTTTACCATTATCGCGATTTTCACCGACTAAACATGGTTTGTGATCTCATGTTCTATGGTGATTTGTCGTCCCCTTGCTGCCTACAGTCACTCCTCTGAATTCGTAGGCAAATTTGGCAGTACTTGATATTGAAGATACGTGATATAATTTTAAAGCAAGAAAAATGAAAAGGTTTTAGAATAATTGAAAGACAGATATAAATTTAATTACTTAACCCAGCGCTTCTCAAAGTTGCAATATTCGCGACCCAATATTCAATTATAATTTTCATCGCAATCCCTCCTCATACAATAACAATGTATTGAATTCAATAATACTTTACTTTGATGCTAAAACTACGATACAACGTTAACCTCTTAAGCGCCCTTCGTGTACATAAACGTCTCGCTAAGCCAAAGTGTATATTTCCCCGGACGTATATATACGTCTTTCTGAAGTACGATCTGTCCTGTGTACTGCTATTTATAAAATTATTCCGAAGGCTTTGGAATGCAATAAAAATACCATGACAAGGTTTGTGTGCGAAGGATTTACTTTTATTTCATATTATTTTCTTCCTTATTCCTCTCCCCCCCCCCAATACAGCATATACGTGAAATACATTTGACATTAAAAAGCGAATCGCGTAACTTTTAATTGGAAGTTAAAGGATTATTTATAAACCATGTAAATTATCAAGATAAATGTTAATTTTTGTTTTTAATAATATATATGGCAAGCCCATGGGGTTACTGGTAATTGATAAGCTTATTCTTAATTTAGTATTGTTATATTAATTATAAAATACATTGTGTATCACTGATACATTTATAAGTGTAAATTAATAATTTTTTAAAAATAATCTTTTGTTTTCGACTTTTCAATGTACTCACTCCTCCTCACAGAGTTGACACGCCCCACAAGGGGGTGCACCCCACAGTTTGAGAAACGCTGACTTTACCACTTCCCTGTTTTGCCCAAACGCCTTTTGGACACTTGAAATGGCACTTCCTTTAAGAAAAATATTATCTTTTGAAATCTAATATATATTTTTGTAAAGTGTTCTTTTGAGTTCGCTTATTTCTTCGAAAAAAAGCCAACTTTAAGGAAAAATATGTTTTTTTCAATGAAAATAAAAATCATCATAATTCTTTAAATTCAATTTTTATAACATTTCTGATTGGTGATTTGAGTTTATATAATTGATTTCATCTTCAAAATGCTTATAAAAATATGCTTATTTTTTTACATAATATGACAGAAAAAAAGAACATGTTAAGTAGTTAATTTAATAAGTACACATTGTATTCAACGAAGCATTTATACACAGTTTTTAAAAAAGCAAAATTAAAGTATAATTTGTGAAAATTAAAAGATTTAAGAGTTAGCTTGTCAACCTAATAAGTGTGAATCAAAAACTGAATATCAATTTGGAAATATACCAGGTTATTTTGTCATTACTTTAGAAGCTACTCATTATAGAGTGTCAGAGTTTTTTTTATAAATAATTATAACCGCGAATCAGATATTTGGTTAAATAATCTTGTTATAATGCTAGGAATTTGAGAAAAAAATGTTGGTACACGCAATATCCAGAATAATTATGGAATAATTAAACTGGAAGTTTTTTCTGTAACGTTTGTACTTAATATTTTTAAACAATAAAATAACGCATGGCCCATAGCTTACTGTACATTTAATTAACAATCAGAAGTATTGTTTATCCAAATAGAAGATCCAATTATTAATGTACGTCTTTATGTAGCTTACGTTAACACTTCATTTCACAATCTCGTTATTACGTTAATATTAATGAAGGGATTTAACATTCTTGAAGCTTTGATCATTAACGACTATGTTAAAATATACGATTACAAACCAATTATCATTATCTTCCACTTAATATTCATTTGCATGAAATGTCAACATTTTGAATTTGATTCGTGTGCATATTTCAAAAAAGAAGGATGCATGTTTTCTGATTTTCCTTTATAATTTTTCGAATACATTTTAGTTAATCAACAACCTGCCAATTTTACTAATCAGACATAAATTTATTTCAACAATTAAATTAATACTGTGCAAGTTATTAAAAAACTAATATTATTGAACTACTGCTCTTATATTACAATAAGTTATATATAAATGTAAAAAAAAAAATACCAACATTTTTTTGTTACAAATGTTCGATGTGTGACTCTTTTGTTACACGGCATATGTCCAATCTGTAATCCAGTTCGTTCCATACATTTTGTAGAATCACTCTATGAATGGTTCATAATACTGCACAAATCCTCTGTTATTCGTTGTGTCGATTACAAATAATACGGCTTGAAATTTAATTTTTTTATAAAATTTTCCATACAGTTTTCTTCTGGGGCATTCCATGTTTACAGGCGGCAACTCTCAAAGACTTCCATGGACTTGGAACAAAACACTGCCTCCTCACTTTCTCTAAGGCTTCTTCTGAGACATCCTCTCTCCTGCTTTTTTTTTTTCAATTTCTACTATTAGTTCACTCTCCTATATATGTATATATATCCTATATATATATATATATATATATATATATATATATATATATATATATATATATATATATATCTTGTTCAAATTTTCAATCGTTCATAAAATACTTTTTATTCATCCACTCAAGTTCAAATACATTTTTTAAACATGTAATGGATGACATTTGATATAAATACACATTTTTTAAAAATATTAATTCATTAATTTTTTTAATTAATGAATAAATAGTCACAAACAAAAATAATAGTCCAACACCATATATAGAAAGGAAAGTCGTTCATTGTGTCCCTGCAGCGCATTTAATAGCGCGTTGGACTTGAAATTCAAAGGTCATGGGTTCGAATTCCACCTGGGATGGCTTCTGAGAGTGTGATTTCTTTTTTATTATACTATTTTATTAGAATAATTAAATTTAATTAATGAATAAATAGTAACAAAAAGAAGAAAAAAAACATATAGAGTAAAGAAAATGAAAAATTGCAAGGAAAACCCCTTGCTATTTTGTCTGTTAATATTGTGATTCTGTCATATGTATATACATATTTATATTAATTGTAACTATTTAATAAAAAGTAACTAAAATAAAATTTTTCTTTGTTGATCTAAGTAGGAATTGACTTAATTCTTTTTAAATGTATTACTTACTTTGTTAAAAAATTTCGTTGACTTTCTTGTTACATGCCATACGTCCAATCTGCATAATCCGGTTCGTTCCACACATTTTGTAGAATCACTCTATGAATGGTTCGTAGTAGTGCACAAATTCTCTGTTATTCGTTGTGTCGATTGCAAATGAATTTAATTTTTTTCGTAAAATTTCCCATGCCTTTTTCTTCTGGGGCATTCCAAGTCCTTTTAATACAACAACCTGCTACCTTAAATTGATGATACCATAGCAGAATGTTCTTGATGGATGGTGCTTCTTTTCCTTGGCGGTTTCTAAATGCATGGTGCACCGAAACAACTGAAAACCCCTTGCATAACCTAATAAAAAAAAATTCTGTCACTGTCGCCATGTTTGGATTTCAATCATAGCGATCTTGAATGTGCTGTTGATCATTGGTTGAAAAAAAAACTTTTGTATAATTCTCTTTATGCATCACTTATAATTATGTACGCAGTAGTTTCGAAAAAAAGAATTTTTAAAATCGGGTCCAACATTTGTACTCATCCTGCGTATTTGTTTCTCAGAACGAATCTGTCGATCTATCGATTTGCCTGCTCCAAAAGAGAAATCTGTTTGACTTTTAGGAGGTAAACGAAAAACAATTACAATTGTTTTTATTCATTTAGGTACCTGAATCTCCATTTAAAATCTTTTGTGTCTGATTTCCCTGTGGAGCCATTTAAAAAGTTTAACTGTTATTTCGTTAACATTACAATGGTTAATTAATGTGCCATAAAATTGCATGTAACACATTTTTCTGATTCCGTTCTACTAATAGACTCCCGGGATCTTTTATGTGGAGATTTTTCTTCTTCTTGAAGTGTTTTGTCTGAAAAGATGCGCTTTAAAAGTAAGTACTTTTAATTGACTTTCTTTAACTGACGTGTTTTTTCTCATCAAGAGTATCGTAATTAGTGAGTGGACATAATTAGTCACGCATGGGTGGCATTGGAACATTTGATTGAGTTTTTAGAAGGGTTTTAGATGATTACTAAATCTCTGGCTTGAAAAAATATATGTGTTTGTGTTAAAAGTTTCGCACAATTATTTAGCTCTTGATTTTCGGGGTTGTTAAATTAAAATTATTTTGTAGCCGTTTTACACCAAAGTATCATCAGGTTATGGTATTTAATTATACACAATGCTTTCGAAAAATCCTGAATTGTTATAAATCATTAATTTAATTAATTTAAATCAGGGGTGATTAGACTTTTCCAGGATATGGGCTACTTTTAATTTTGTCATGGTGTTGCGGTCCCCCCCAGTGTCAGGAGTACACTCGGGGACAGTGGTCCATGGGTCCGGATCCACTCCCAAATCCCTTTATTTTTTTCCCGATTTAATATAATTCCATGTATATAGTACGTAAAATTTAATTAAGTATTTGTTACTAATAATTCTTTTATTAATTAATGCTAATTATTTATTCAATTATTTATTTTTTACTGGTTTTTTATTCTCAACAATCTACAAAATCAAAAAAATATGTTTGGCAGCTTATTACGTTATGATAGGAGAATAGTAGGCTTTTGACCCTGAACTCCCCCACATCCCGCTTGAAATTTTTTTGTGTGCGCCAGTGCCCAGTGTCGTAGGTGTGGTGAGGTAAGAAAAAGTTCTACAATATATATTATAACTTAAAGTATCCGACTACGTTCGGAACTATGATTTTATAAAAGCGCATAAATGGAGAATTTTCGTGATATTTAGTGTCACTTAGATTAGAATATGTGTACAAAATTGTTTTAAGGACATTTTGGCAAAAAGCATTTATTTAAATACAATATTTTGGCAAAAAATTAGCTTAGAATAACCATTTTTTAAAATGTTGTCCTTTAGAAAAATGCTTCTAAAACAATAATATTTTGCTTATATAAAGTAGAGACTTCTCCAGAGAGTCTGAACTATTTTTTTAAAAAAAATTCACATTATTTTCAGAGTTATAACCCATTGTAATAATTATCGGCGTTTCTTTCTTAAAATTTCTCCCCTCTGTTGTCGTAAAACATGGATAAACCCACTTCTAAGTTATATATTTCATGAATTCTAGTTGAGCCTTTGTACAGAGGTCTGATCTATATACAAGCAACATATTATTATAATAGAAGCATTTTTCACAAAAGGAGAATATTTTGAAAATGGGTCATTCTATGTTCATTTTTTGTCAAAATATTGTACTTAATGAATTTTATTCTAATACTATTCTTAAAACCCACAATTTTATATACATTTTCTAATCTAAGTGACACTAAATATGAATGTTATTCATTTATGCGCTTTTTCAAAATCACGGTTCCGAACGTAGTCGGATACCTTAATAATAAATATGGAATATGTAATTACCTGTATAACTAAAAGAAAAAAAACTCATACTTTTAAAACCGCGTTTTAAGCAAATTACAAGATACAAACATAATAATAATAGCCACAAATATAATGATATCCAATTATGCATTTATTATCAAACAATACAAAATAAATTATAAAGTAAAACATTTTTATCTAAAGTTATTTCTCTTAGTTATAGTCAATGGAAGAATTAGTCTACATACTGTCAGCCAATCTTGAATATTTTCACATGTAACCATTAACTGCTAATTTTCAGGTGGTCACCCCAAAATGTCTTGGGGCTCCACCGGTCGATCGCCATCGATGTAATACCCACCCTTGCTTTAAATCATTGGTGAAATGTGTGTGTGTCGCTTGCTTTAGTATTTTTATCGTATTTTTGCTAGTAGTACCTACATCAAGGGTGGCCAACTGTTGTGGTTCGAGGGCTACATTATGGAAGCGGAAGATACCGGAGGGTCGAAACTTCTTAAGGTATCCGACTACGTTCGAAACCGTGATTTTAAAAAAACGCATAAACGGATCCTTTTCATGATATTTAGTGTCGCTTAGATTAGAATACATGTTTAAAATTGTTTTAAGGACATTGCGACAAAAAAAATTATTTAAATAGAATATTTTGGCAAAAAATTAACTAAGAATAGCCTTTTTTCAAAATCTCCTTTTACAAAAAAACGCTTCTATAATAATAATATTTTGCTTATATAAAGTAAAGACTTCTCCAGATAGTCTGAACCATTTTTTTTTTTAAAAATGCACATTATTTTCAGAGTTATAACCCATTGTAATAATTATCGCTGTTTTTTTCTTAAAATTCCTCCCCTCTGTTGTAGTAAAATATGAATAAATCCACTTCTAAGTTATGTATTTCAAAAATTTTAGTTCAGCCTCTGTACAGAAGTCTGAGCTGTATACAGGCACAAAATATTATTATAATCGACGCATTTTTCATAAAAGGAGAATGTTTTGAAATTTGGTCATTCTATGCTCATTTTTTGTCAAAATATTGTTCTTAAATAATTTTTTATTGTAATACTATTCTTAAAATAATTTTATGTACGTTTTCTAATCTAAGTGACACTAAGCATCATAAATATTATCCATTTATACGCTTTTGCAAAATCACTGTTCTGAACGTTGTAGGATACCTTAAAATGATTGCAATCATTCGTTAACTTTGTAAAAGTAAATGATAAATAAAATAGGGCAGTTTTATTCAATTTATTTTCTTTGTTAATTTAATGTCACCCGTAGCTGCAAGCGCGTTTAATTTTAGAATCAGTTATACGAGACAAATGTACCCTATCACACTTTTCTAAAATATTTTTGAAATCGGTAGTGAGATTGCTGATTAAGATTCTCATCAGAGCCTGCAAGTTAAGGCTATCTTCGGCTAATGTTAATAAATAAGAGCCAAATTTGGAATATTTTTTCAAACATAAAATCACTCAAACATTAATATTATATTCTGGCTACATTGTCCTGTAGAGAATCACTTATTTTATAACACTACTCATTTTTATCCGAGTTGACACATTTTTACTTTTATAAAATGTGTTTTGCATTTTTTCCTATACCGTAATGTTAAATGAGCTATAGCTTTACATGTTAAAAAGAAAAACTAATTATTTATGGAATATTTTGAAATTTTAAAAACACTGTATTATAAACAAATGTATGAGTTACAATGTCACACATTTTTATAAAAATTGAGGCATTTTTTCTGTCTGAAAATGTGCTTCACGTCAGGTTCATGCTCTCTTACATATGGCGAAAACAGCCTTAATGTCAACCAATTCGCATCTCTCTTTGTTCTTGCTGGTATTCATGCAAGAAAAACTTTACTCACAAATTTAAGTCAACCAAAATGTAGAGAGTATTTTATCTATATTTGTTTTTCTGACTGTCTTGGCTAGAAACAAAAAATATCTTTATGGGCCACTATTGGCCAACGCTTGAGCTACATGAATACAGAAATAATGTTATCATATTTCTGTAAGCTACATACTACGGTTGAAAGTGACGAGATGCGTCACAAATAACCCTTGTGTTGCAAAAAGTGCGACGTTAAGAAGCACTCACTCATTAGGTGTAAGAGAAAAAGAGAGGAATGACAAGAAAAAGGTCAAAAACAAAGGGAGACAACTATAAATCTCATCCCGATGTCTCTTAAATCCGTACTTACTTGAAGAAGATATCCCCTAAACTCACAATTTACATAATGTAAAAAACTGTTTTTAAAAGTATCTGAAAATAAAAGATAAAAATGTACAGATAAAACTTGTTAGTAGATACATTTACCGACTTACATTTACATGTGAAAACTTTTTTTAACACATTT